CGGATGCACCCCTGCTAGCTTTCGTCACCTACCCTCGGCCTCAAGTTTTTGATCCCTGACCCGACCCTTTCAGGCACTGGGCGACGCCTGGACTTCCCACTGCCGTCGCGAAAGCTCCGTGCACCCCGGCGACGCCCTGCGACCCTGCCCGGGACCCAAGGCCCCGGACCTGAAAAGGGAGCTGAGAAGGGACTCCCAGAGAAAGCTGAGCAGAGGCCTTAGGTGGCATAGTTCACTGATGTTTTTTCTTGCAAACTGACAGATCAAATGGATCAAACCAATCTTTCTGGTGAGACATCCAAGGAAGTGAGCAGAAGATGCTTCACATCAGGATGCCCAATGCATCGGTTCCACTTCTTCTCACGCCCAATCTTGAACTGTGTTTGATGAGGCCGTTCTGACTAGGCCGTGCTTTTAACACAGGTACAAGTGCGGTGTTTGTACAGGTTTCCTGGGAGCTTTGAAGGGAAGCTCGTCCGGGACAACAGTTTTTAAATTCTTTATTTCACGCAATGCAAAGGACGTTAGACCCTTGCGTGTGTGCCTTGGCCATTTGATGGAAGACTCATTCAGGGGAAGCTCGAGTAAGCATGCCGTGCTTGAGTACAATGGCCCATGGAGAATCTTCATACAGTGGATGCATGATACTCATGGGCTTTGACACAGGGCGCTACATTCTAGGCACAGTGAGCAAATCCTCGACAAGTTTGCCACAGATGATAATCATGCATATTAAAGGGATCATATACATAAAGGAATACGTAGGAAGCTGAGCTGTGTCTTGTAAGACCAAAGTGATTTTCGCGCCACTGTTGATGCACCAAATCCTGCAGCACCTTCAAAAGTAGGGTCCTCATGGCCTCCACCCTACTAGCGATGGCCTCCACCCTACTAGCGATGGTCTCCAACCTACTGGCGATGGCCTCCGCCCTAGGAGCGATGGCCTCCACTCTAGTGGCGATGGCCTCCAACCTAATAGCGACCCCACCCTTTCCTCTTTCTTTTGCATATAGGTAGGCCTGCCGTATCTTAGGTGGTGCAGGATGTTGTTCATCAGCAGCGTGTCAAGGCTCTTCCTGCAAGAGACAGGGACGTGCCTGTGAGACAGGCAGAGACAGGCCCAATAGACATGGCCAACTTTTTTTTTTTCGCAGAAAATCTGCCTCGGAGCCGTTTTAGATGACAAGGCTCTGAAAGACTTCTCCAGCCGGCTACGTCGATGCTTGTATTTGTTTGTATATACATATGTAATAGTAATATCCAAACTGTAATTGTGTTGTCAGGGAGCTTTTTTCAACCTTCCTTGCCTTGGGAGTCGCTAATACCCTGCCCGTGGACGGCAACACAGCGGTCCGGGTTCTCGGATGTGGGCGGATTGGAAAAGCGGTGCTGTTTCAGTTGCGGTCTCCGGTCGTTTGGTCAATTTCCTTCAGAGCTGATTTCATTGTGAGTTGCCTCTTTAGGCCTGATGCCTAAAGCATCCTAAAGCCCTGTTCTAGTGAATTGGCACCAAGATTGGGCCAACTTAAGGATCAAGGACAAACCACTATTTGGGAGAAACCTTCCATCGTTGTGTGTTTGATCCTTCTTAACTATCAGCAAAAGGAAGTGGTGACCGATGATGGTTTGCCGGCTGATTTGTCTTCAAGGGGGTAGCAGCAACCTGGGGATGGCTTGCGAGCAACAGATGGATGAATCAAAGGCGATTTCTGTGAGCTAAACAGCTTGGCAGTTGGGTGAAAGTCATAAGATGCAGCTCAGAGTGGATAAGTCGGTGCCTTGTGGGAAGCCGCACGAAAAGCTCTTTACAAATTTAATGTATAGCGCTGTTTCCAAAATTCAAGTGAGACCATAGCATTCCCTGTGTGCAGGCAGAATTGGATGAAAGGGCTGCCAGAGCCCCACATTTGGCCACTACGGCTGGGCCTGTAGACTATGAGGCGGAGCAAAATGGAGCCAAGCAGCCAAGCTGTTCATTCTTTGTGTTTTCCGCAAAGAAACTTGCGAGAAAATGAGTGAGTAAGTGCTGCGTAAGACAGTGCGTGGTGTGAGGAAGGACGATTTGAATCGCAACACATTAAGCCTAGGAGCAAGGACGCTCCTAGGGGCTCCTGGCCTTACTACTAGGAACAAGAAGCTACTATCAACAAAGGGCATCGCTACTAGTAGCAAGGACGCTACTAGGAGCAAAGGGCATTTCTACTAGGAACAAGGACGCTTCTAGGGGCTCCTGGCATCGCTACTAGTAGCAAGGACGCAAAAAAGGAGCATCGATTTAACCAAGTCTGAGGGCACAATCGACGGCTTGTGGCACCAGAGTTGTTGCCGTTTCCCTTAGAAGTCACACAGTCACAATCCTTTGTTCAATTGCGCAAAGAAAGGACATCGACACGTTTCCGTTACCCGTGAGCTAGCAGCGAACCCCTCAGGATACTGACATGGCCTTTCTTAGCGAGGTCAGTGCATCCCAAAGCTCTTGAGCTCTCCCTGTGTGGCGATTCCACTTTGCTTTGACAGTGGTGCGCTTGAAACCACACGGCTTTTTTCTCCCGCACCTTCACTGCCCAAACTGAAGGTTTGTGGACGTCCTCGTCTTCCTATATATTCTGTGTGCTAATTCCTTTGCTGGTTCTTTGAGATAGGTTTGCATCTAGATTGCTTAAGGCGAATCACCAGCCACTCGCGATCAGATTTGCTGATGTACTTCTCTCGCGCGTTCACGGCAGACCCCAAACTGTTTAGGGTTAGGCCTGACTTCCTGTCGGCCCCCCGCCGCCCCTTGACGCCTTTGCTGACAACCCGTTTTGTCCAGCTTGTACGACTCCGGGCATGTCAGCCAAAACCAGTGCAACAGAAAAAGGGCCGATGGAATGGGGTTGGCAACTCTTTGATAGCTGCATCCCATCGCCAGCGGCCACTTGGGCCACTTGGGCCACGGCCAGCTGTGCTATCCGTCGCGCCTGTCCTGCTGGTGCACTCTGCGCCCTGCGCCTGTTGCCCCTCTCCAAGCCTCAGAGGCCTCAGTCCTCGGGTTTGCTCGTTTTTGATGACTTTGTCGTCGAATGACCATCTTGATAGACGCACTTTTCATCTTTGTTTTTCGGTGCTCACCCGTGATCAAAGAGACACCCAGCATTGGCTGATTGGCGGTTGACCTCTTCTCGACCATTCACGTGCGTCTTACACACACATACATTAATAATATACTAGGAGCAAGGACGCTACTAGGGCTCCTGGCCTTACTAGTAGGAGCAAGGATGCTACCGCACTGGAGCATTGATGGCTTCTGGGCGGAACACGGAACACCCCCTGGCTGTTTGGAACTCGCTCTACACAGTGCTCCTTGCCCAAGAGCCTGCACTTGAGCGACAGACATTGTACCGGAATGCTTCCTCTCCTGAGCTCTTCGGCGCTTCAGGGCTCTTCCCTTCCGCTGTCGGCTGCGCAGCGATCTGATTCCGAAGTGTTGATGACTGCGTACGTCTAGCTGCGAACGTTGCAGTGTTTTGTCAAAGATGAGTGGCTGCCAAGGTCCTCATAATTGCTCATACATCAAATCGGCACTGGTTTGCAGGGAGTTTTATTGAAAGTGCAACATCCAACGAAGTAGAGCATGTGTGGCCCATGAAGGTGACAGCGCAAGAGAACACAGCAAGCTCTCTTTCAAAATGTCCCCACGACCAGTTCCAACCAACAAGGGCCGACGACTGGAGGCAAGACATGGAACCGTGTTTCTTTGTTGTCCGAACTGTTCGAACTTTGGTACCTTGAGGCAAAACATCAGCAACCCAAATGAACTGACAGTGACATGCAAGTAGGCAGGCAAGAGCAAGGAGAAGGCTTAGCAAAGCAAATCAGCAAATCAGACGCATCCACTCGTTTGGTGGATTGCCTGGTGGTTGATTCCAAGCCACCCCGACTGCCGGAAATTTGGTAGACTCTCAGGTAGACAATGACCAACATATCCAAGACCGGACTGAACATGCCCCTGCTTTAAAAAGGAAATTGCAGATCAGCCCAGGATTCTAAAGGATCTCTATGATGTGCCACAGTATGAAGTGTGCCTTGTTGACGCGTAGAGCCCAACGCAAGGACAATTTTCGTGGGCACAAATATGCCCCAACTCCCAGATTTCCTGGTGAAACTCACAAATTCATGTTTGCACCATATGCCGATGCCCCAATGCTTCTAAGCCATGGAATCAAGTTGCCAACGGGCTTTCTAAAGCCAAAAAGGATCAAAAAGGTACACTGGCTGATCGCCACCAGCAGAAAGAGGAATTGCATAATCAAGATCTTTCACTAGAGATTTTACACTTTGTTGTCCCGACAAATCGCTGCCCATCACGCCTTTTGCACCAGTTTGCTGCCCTCACGTGCATTTCGTGCCAAGTAGCTGCGAGTAAACCAATCGTGCTCTGCCCGCGCTGGAGCATCCCGCCACATCGCAGATCACCGTGCTACAAAGCATCGTCACGCATCACAACGTCAGAAATCAGCATAATTCGGCACATCCTGCTGCGACTTTCCGCGAAGGATCTTTTTGCGAAGTTTGAGCCTTGATCTTCACCTCAAAACCCCTGGCTGCGTCGATGTGCAAGACACTTCGTTAGAGCCACGGAAGCTACCGCAGAAACTGAAAATTTTGACACCGACCGCGTTCCTCTTCGAGCAAGGCTTAGTGGAAGAAATAAGATGGGTGGGCATTTCTTTGCAACACGGAGAAGTACTTCACCGGCTTGCAAAGCTGAAGGGCTCCGTGACTCTGCTATAAACCTTTTTACATGTGAGACCAGAACATGGGCTCACGCTGCTTCTTCTAAGGAAGACGAACATATTCCTCAACGACCCATAGGCACTAAACCCATCTTCTTACTTGCCGACGTCCGTCAGCAAGCCAGCCTTGCTCATATCTTCTGTTTTTGGCTGTGTTCTGGTTGTATCACCCCAACCCTTCACTATAGATTTATGCTGTGTTTCATGGCGATTGCTTCCCCACCCTACAAGTCTGCCAGGCACAGCACCGCCTTACAGTGTCGGTGAATTGAAGTCGAAGATGCAGAATGACAGGAGGGGGGCCACCAGTGAGAAGAGGGACCCAAGGGAGTAGCGTGTACTTGCGGCTGGTTGCACCAACGTGTGCAGAGTGCCACAGCAGCTGATGGCTCGTCTCGGACCCCCTTCTGTCTTTGTCTTGGGAGTAATGTGAGCGCTGCCCCCCATGTGAAGCTGTGAGCGGACATGGGCCTACAGCCACCCCTACACTTTCAATGGTATCATCAAAACCAAGATCGCAACAGGTTGTGCGGCAAGCCGTGCTGTTTTGTTGTTGCTTGGGCCATGCTGTTGCGGCTCTGCAAGCAAAACAGTGGCAGCAACAGGTGCCACAAGTACAAAACTGACCCGAGCTTTCAATTTGTTGGTGTGCACTTTCTGCCTCTGCATGCCCACAAAGATCGGTGCTATGGGAGCGGTTTGTTTGAGGCGACCAGTGGGTCACCATGTCGTTTGGCCTCGTAGAGTCCAGTTGAAGTCTGGATGCCTCCTAAGGCTACCCATGTTGGGTGTGGCGCCGCGACACTGTATCTGAAAGGATCCAAACTTACAAGACAATGAGGACCGCTGGCAAACGCCCTGTTTAAATGAAAGGCTCCACGATTCTCCACATTTTCATGGCTTTGTCCTGAAGTCTTGCCCACCAATTTTCACTTCACTCGCTTGATTCACTCGCATTGGCCATGGAGCCACGGAGTGTCTTGTAGAGTGACAGGGCAAACCGGCATAAACTACAACAATTTGCTGTTTGTCTGGGCATTTTACCTGCCACGATTCCTGCAGAATAGTGCAATCCGTTCACTCATGCATTTCAAACATGAAGATGTGTGACGCACTTATCCCACCAAAGACAAGCAGCAGGGCCTGCAATGCTGCACATGCTATGTTGCCATCTGTCAGGCAATGTCAGACACTGGCTGCAACAAGTTTACCAATTAGTTGTGGAGCAGTCACAATTGGCTCGGCAATTCTCTTCCAACACCTTGAGCTGCTATGCCCCATCGAGCGTAGCGGCAAAGCCGCTGAGCCGTGGCTTATTCGGATTTTTGGCGCCATGAACGGCAAGATGCTGTGTAGTTTGTTGCAGTCGTGCCATTTCGCCAGGGCCGACCCAGACACCTATTTTGAAGGAACATGTCATGTGGCATATAATATCAGCTCTTTTTGTCTGGCGAGTCTGGAGTTGAGCTTGCGCGTCCGTGGGCCACTTCTTGGACCAACAAACCGTTCGGGTCCACGCTCCTTGATGTCGAACCGTGTAGACGCGATTGCTGCCAACCGGATCGTTGCTTTTGGCTCACGTGGTGCGCAAACCACCGTGTCAAGCGTGTGCAGCACATTGAAACGCTGCCGAGGTCAAGCGCATTTCACACCACTTCACAACGAAGTAGGCCTTCTTCATGCCATCGTCGCGAGGTGCGGCGCAATACAGTAGCACTACCAAACATCTGTGTATTGAGGTAGCGGGGAAGAACCAGCATCGGCTTCACGACTTTGTCATCGTTTTCGTCATGACGGCGTCATCGATCTTACCGCGGTGACACACGCTTGTTTGTTGCGTGACACTGTCATTGCTGCAGCGGTGTGCCGGAAGTATCAATGCACGTGACGGCGTTGTGTCATCGAAAAACATATTCCTGACAAACGGCTCCAGTATTGTCACGCAGAACGAGTGGCTTGGGGGTACCGTCGTGCCCTGATTGACAAATGTGGAATGCCAGACCGGCATTTCCAAACACCCCGATTACTGCGCACGGCTTCCCGTCCTCTACAAAGGGGGTGGCCCGTCTCCCTGCAAGGCAATTGCGGTGGTTTCTGGGCTGATTGGGAAGACGCAGCGTCCAAACAATTCAAACAAAACATCAATAGACCACCTCGCGGGCCACACCACCGCTTTCTTCAGCCGCCGGGCGTGGGAGGTTTCTTCAGGAACACCGGTGCGTCTGGAAACACACATGACTTCATCCATGGGAGCATCCGCTGCCAAAATTTTGGTTGCCTTGTGGGCCCATGCCAAACATTGGCTTCAAAAGTGGGGTGCCATATCACCCACTTTGCTTGTGCGGTACTAAGAATAAGGATATCACGAAAGCTAGCCTTAGCTAGCTGGAGTTGCTCTTGCTTTAGCAAGTTAAGTGACGGGGTGGACGCACCTCAGAAACCTCAAATAATTGATTAAATCAATCTTATGGCCCCCCCCCCCCCCCGCGGTTCGACTCCCCCCTGCGCGCGGTGAGCGGGACCACCAAGCAGCTGCAGCACACCAAGCATCTGCAGCGCCCAGCGCAGCAGCGGCAGCAGCAGCAGCATACCCAACGCCGCGGCAGCAGCAGCCGCAGCAGACCACCCAGCGCCAGCAGCAGCAGCAGCAGCAGACGACCCGGCGCCTGCAGAGCACCCAGCGCAGCAGCGCCCAGCGCAGCAGCGGCAGCAGCAGCACCAGCAGCAGCAGCACCAGCAGCAGACCACCGGAAGCCCGGCTAGCTTTCGTTCACCCCCTCTGGCCTCAAGTGCAATTTGATGAGGATAAATACATATAGCACATGCTTTTGGGCAAGCAAAGTGTCCAGATTTGACATCGGGATTTCCAGAATAATCAATTGACACTGACCCGCCCTTACGTAGACATGAATAAATGACGTGTATTCACTGGCAGCAACAGCAATGCTCCTACAAGCGCAACATGGTTTCTTCACAGTTCATGCGCGTCTGCGGTCTGTACGAAGCGCGTGGAACTCTGGGACCACAGTTCTTACACATGCCAGCGTCTACACGCCGCAATTTTACACAAACGAGCGCTGACGCAACACAGCCTCTACGCAAAGGCGTGTTGACAAACCTAACCACACCACATGCTGTAACAATTTTTCCTCGCGACGCAGGCCCTTCTGAAGCGCGCGCGTGGCATACGACCACATTGGCACAGCACAAGGCAGTTCACAACTGCCACACAGCCCTGCGTGTAGACGCCACGGGCTTGACATGATGTGATTGATACGCTTTTGCAGACTCAACGCCGAACACTGCTCACGCAACGCACGGTTCACATAAGCCCCCCGTTGCACCACATGGCATGCTGTAGCAATCTCTCCTTGCAACCCCGGGCATTCTAATGCGGAGCATGCATGTGACACACCACTGTTTTGGCGCCACCCAGTTCTCACTTGCACCACACCAGTAGCAACCTCTCCCCGCGACCCCCGGCCTCGCAGCACAGTTTTGGCATCAGGCAGTTTTTGCACACCAGAGCCCAGAGCTGTTACACGGCCCTGTTGTGGTTACATACTGCGGTTTTCATATATTTTTGGTGACTCTCTACTTTTCGTGCTTTCTTGTTTCAGGATTCTCAGAGGCCACGTGTTAGGGAGAGGGAACGGCCAGAAGGTGGGACACTTTGGGACAGGCATGTCATATCACTGTGCGAATTTCCTCTAAAACATAGGAGCCCGGGTTGTCTTAAAGAATGAAATCTGTAAGTATCAATGGGCCACCAGGAACCTGGGGGTTGGAATTCTTTACAGGTGGGTAGGTGGGTGGGGGTTGGCCAATTCGACTCGAATCCGGGTGCGCTGATTCTTTAGACTTTGACATAGTTGAAGGCCAGTGTCTATTCTTCAAGGCATGTTTTCCATTGATTCTTTAGGCTTTGTGGTTTTTTTTGTTACCTTTGTCCACCCTCAAGCCTGGGTTCCTAAAAAATAGGACAGCCCGGGTTCGAGAGCGAAACCGATCGGGGATCATGTTATAAAGTTCCCCACCCTTGGTTTCAATATTTCTTGGTATGTTTTTTGTCATGCCACGTTTTTTTTTGGCTCTCAGAATGACGTGGTCACATGTTTGACATGTCGTATGTTGATGTTTCTGTATTTGGGGTGAGTTTTTGCAAATTTTTTTGTTGAGGCTTGGTGCTTTGCTTTTATTAGGGCCCGCAGTTGTCAATGTCTCAAAAAATATGCTTCGTGTTGTCAGTTGTCAATGGCTGGCTGGCTTCGTGTGGAAACCTTTTTCCAGTTGCCCAGTCACGTGAGCAAAAATGTTTCCAGGCAGTCATTTTGAAAACTCAATTTCTTTATAGGATGAAAAACGTTCAGCAAGTGATCCCGGTAGCAAGGCACGGGGGATCTCATTAGACATTTTGCGCCTGCAGCAGGATATTTTTTAAAAAGACCTCATCTCCATTTTTGTCCTGCTCGTGCCCATGGTGGCAGCGAGAGCACGGCGCCGCCATGTGGTAAAATCAAACATGCCCAGGGTTGAAGGTGGAAAAATGAGAGCCAATTTTGCGATCCGGCGTCCGGAGTCCAACCAGCCATCCGCATTCCAACATCATGCCCAGTGGCCCGGCCGCCCTACAGTCCGGAGCAGCATGGCTGACCATATTGCGCGCCTTGATCGCTCACGGCCTTGCGGACGCCCACCGGCGTGAGCAGCCCAGCACGTGCCCAAGTCCAGGTCCAACAAACTGCTTTGTACACATCTCGATGAGGGGTGTGTGCCCCACTCGCTTTTTCCGCAGGCTGTGGGCCAACGGTCGGGTCACAGGCCTAACCTTGCCCTGATCTTTTCCGCCAGAACAGGTGCTGACACGACTACCGGGTTCAGTGAACCGACATGCATATCTCGTTCACACATCAGGCAACGAACCTTTGAATTAACGAGCGGGGTTGAAGAACACAAAGGATGCGCGACCCGAGCGTGAGGCTCAAGTTGTGCTGTTCGGGCCCGGAACAAAGGAAGTTTCAGTGAAAGAACTGCTCGCCGCAACTGGTTGGTGTCCAGGCTCGCACCTTCCAAGAGTTTCCCAGGTCTCACCGTTTTCGACGAATTTTCGGGTAAAAACTGGCTGTATTCCCAAGCGTCCTTTTCTACTTCCATCCGGTTCGTGGTGGACTTGCAGCCAACTCCCTCACAATCTGTTCTTCAATTCACCATGGAGGGCGAGTCGCCATGACTGAGCCCAGGGCAGTTAAGCAACCGGGGACGCGTTCACAATGCCAAGGATGAACAAGCGTACACCACGCTACGGGTTTCTCGTCACAACTTGTCACTGGAACCGCTGGAAACGACCCGGCTTGTAAGGCACCAAGGTGAAGCAGGAAGTCGACACCACCGCAGCGAGAGGCGCAAACAGAACCAGAATGCCCAGCAACCGCCACCGAATCCAAATTTGAAGCAATCGAAAAAACTAAGGCCAGTTGGTCATTGACAGCCCTTGTAAACAAAGCAGTGCCTGCCGAAGGGGGAAACAATGCATGGTTCTGGTCACGGCTGTATTGCGCGCGCGGCTGGAGCAACATAGCGTCATTTTTGCGGGTGTGGTTGTAACCGGCTTTTGGCCTTGCATGTGCAGTTGCATTTTTTCTCGGGCTTTGGGCCAGTGTTGTTGAATGTGGGCAGGTGGTTGTTCCAACCTACCGCCGTTGGAGGTCAACCCAAGAGGTGGGGAAAGGTTGAGGTGACTTTGTTTTTTTTTAGTGCGTTCATGTGATTTGCCCAGCAAGCTTGGCAGGTAACCAAGAAAAAACGCTTCAAAGACTCGAATCAGCCCTTCATATTGGATCACACGCTGGGTTTCCTTTCCAGGCATGTTTGGTGGCATGAGTGGTTGTGAAAAATGTGACACCCTACTTAAGTAGCGTGAATCGTTGGGCAATTCACGGCTTTCTTCGGAGGGAAGATGTACCCAAAGAGCGGGTCACACTTTTTGTCGCGAACGAGGGGGAGGAGAAAGAGTACAGAAAGGCTCTTGAGGCGCAGTCGCATGGCCGCAAACAAAATTGGTGTTTTTTTTTTTTGTGCACTCTTGGCATTTTCTGTGTCAGGGATCCGCGTGGGCGAATGTACGGATTCAGATATCGATGCCTGGAGTCCGCGACAGCCGTCTCTCAGCTCGGTTTGTTGTTTTTAGTGCCCGCCTGTGTGCGATGCATTCGGCACCCTAAACCGCGCAGTTTTGCCCATACGTCCTGGGGTTGCATTGAGGCAATTTTATCTACAAATTTTTTCCGGCAGATACCTATGTGGTAAGTTTAGATGATGACATGGAAGGGATCAAGCTTCCTGGCTGCATTCGATGCCTGCGTTGAACAACAAAAAACTGGACGACCATTGGCAAAACAATAGTGCATCCTCGTTGAACCATGGCCAGTCCTGAGGTGGAAAATTCGAGAGGGCAGCGACACATCGTCATGCATTGACCTACCTCGAGGACTCGTTTTCTAGTATCCACCAAAGCTACAGTCCCTTTGACCACTTTGCCACCCAGGACATTTCTTGAAGATCGTACGTGATGCGTACCAGCGCATGAAGGAACTCTTGCTGCCACTTGGGGCTTGGGCGGGGTGAAGTACGCACATGGCACAGTGTCCGCATGTTGTTGCAGGAAACGGGTGCTTTCTTGTGGGGGCTCAGCACTTCTCAAAATCCACGTTTTCTTGGCAGCCTGGCCTGGCGTTAGCGTGGTGCCTGCTTTGTTCCTTGCTCGTCCTGGCTGCTGTGTTAGAGCGATCTTTCTGTTTCAGTCATGGACGACGTCTCGATGCGGAATGGGCTGGTCAATGGGCATCCTGGCTGTGTCCTTCTATGTTTAGAAAGTGCTCCAGATTGAAACGCCACAGGCCCAACATGTGAGGTATTTACACGGTTTCATTTGCCGCCCGGATGCCGCACCCGACCTGCTGCGGCGACTCCCAGATGCCGTTGAGGACATAGCATGCAAGATTGACACGGTTGGCTTTAGAGAAAAACAACCACTTGCCAGGATGCGGAGTTCTCAGTGAGGCACTTTGCGAAGGAGAGTCGCTGTGCTGTAGTGTGCACTAGGGGCCGGGGCTTCACCAGCTTGGAGGACAAAGTTGTGTTGCGCTACAGGATGTATGCAGGACCTTTGAATGCAAATTGGTCTTGGTTTTTGTTGACAAATTTCTTTATCAAATCTGGCCAGATCCTTTTGCAGGTGTGACGTCTCCTTATACGAACGGTGGCGGCCTACAAAGCAAGTTCCATGTGGGAGGCTCCATCCGCAAATCTGAGGAGCCGATTTTGCCGATTTTGGGGACGTTCGATCGGATAGAGCTTGGTGGCTTGGTCATGTGTGGCCGGAAGGAGTGGTGCGGTGCGCAGCAGCTTCACGAACTCTTCCCTACTTTGATTGCAGCCCCTAGCCACACACCCAGCATCATAGCACTCAAACATACTAGGAACTAGGAAGTATTTTTTTTTCCTGAACTTGAGTTTGCCTTCACCCTTCATGATATACAAGGAGTCATTTGCACTGACGTTCAGGTGAAGGCGACAAGTGCCGTCAGAATGCCACAGAGGCCTTAACTTCCAATTTTTATGGTTTCTGCTTTGACTTTGGTTATTTTAGTTGAATGCTCTAGTTGGCAATTGTGCAGCAGGTTCGCTTCATCAGCCAGACGGGGCTCGGAGTAAAAGCGTCGAGAGCTCACTCCGGCCTACTTGTTTTGTGGTATGCTTGCCCAGCACTCAGGCGGAAGTTTGCCGTTCGTCGTCTTAAAGGACTCTGCAGGTTTATGATCCCTCAACTAAAGGCGGCCCCGGCATCCTATGTGGGTCATGGTGAGTCAAGAAAGACCTGTGACCAGGGGAAGGAAAAGAGAAAGACCGCGTTGGCGGCTTTGGCACGGCTAAAGGTGCCCCAAGCTTTGCTCACTGTTCCCTCCCTGCCTGCATGCCTGCTCCACCCCATCAACCTTTTCCCATGACAGCACTCCAGGCTTTCGCAGTGAGAAAACAGAAGAAACAGCCGCAATCTCAAGCTTGCAGAAAAGGCGGAAACACTGAGCACTAATTGAACGAGGCTCCCGGCATTGAAGAAAGTGCCAGAGGCATCAGGCAGCAGGTCGGAGATTGTTTTCTTCACGCAGCTGAATTGCCGCTTAGTGGCCCGTTTCACATGGCAGGAAACTGTCGGGACAGGCTGTTCCGCAAGCTGAACGTCCGCTATTGTTGCTTGGAGAGGATGGTTGAGCAGAAATGATTGCATGGAACATGAAAACCACTGAGATGCACCAGGACAAGATTCGCTTTGCACCAAACCCAAAGAAAAAGGGCACAGATGCGCACCGCCGTGCCTCAGCAGCAGAATTACACATTCTTGTTGGATACAACTGTTTGGGCCTCTGTCTCTTTGGAGGTTATGGAAGGGCTTGACAACCATACAGCTAAGCATTGTTAAGCATTGTTTTGCATCTGCATTTGGTGATGGTCCAGGCACCGCAGTGACAAGGATTGCCCTTGGCCTGTGTGTTTGTTCAGCCCGATCCCATGGGAAAGTTCGGTACTAACACTCCCATTTATGCCGTGGGCCCCGGGCATATGGGTGAGTTACGAAATTTGACCCTTCACAGGCCCAGTGTTATCAATTTTATTTGGCTGTCATTTTTAGCTGAGGTTATGCAAAGTACAGCCGTGCAAAGAAAGTCAGTGAACTTACCGCCCTGGGCTGCAAGATGCGTAGCTGGAAAAGGAAGTCCATGTTTGTTCACGCGCAGTCGAATGAATTCTTTCACCCGTCCACCTTCGGTCACCAAGGAACATTGACTTTCGCTACGATCTAAAAAGTGGATTCTTGAAAGTTGCCCACCTCTCAACAGTCCACTCTGGTTTGCTTTTCTGAGATGCTTAGAGTCTTGCACGGATGTAGGGCCAATAGCGCCGACAAGGTCGAATTGGACACCCGGCCTGCAAGCAATGAGTGTATGGTGCAGTGCTCAGATTGGTGGTTGATCACTCGGAAGATTTGCCTGAGCTAACTTGCCCATGATCGAGGTGGAGGATGATCCTCCTTCTCCAGCACCACATCCTCCTTCGGGCAGGGCACGCTCGGCACAAGTTCGACTTACAGAGGCACCGCCTGACGGTAGTTATAGGAGGATGCACTTGAGTTCTCTTTTAATTGATTTCCTTTCAGAGAATTCTTTTTCGCATACAGGTCACTGGAAAGCATCCAGGGCTTTTTCTGAGCAAAGAGTACCTTGGCTTAGATCGCAACCTCGCCATGACCGCCGGGCTAGCACTGCCAGATTGAAGCAAGAAGGGTCACCAGATATTGGTACGTATTCGGGACAGGTTGGGTGCACAAGCAAAGACCCACGCTGCCCTCCAGGTCACTCCTTCCCTTGCAGCACCGCTGCCCGGCACTTCAGGTCACAGCCTTCAGGTTGAGACTGAAAACTGCAATTTATGATCATATATATATATATAACTTGATTCTGACTTCAGAATTGTTTGAATTATATTTCATTACCTCTCGGCTTGTTTGAACCAACTTAGGGAAGTTGGGCGGGGCGCTGTGTGCAGCAAAAGGGGGTCCGCTCTCGAAGGCTTGGAAAACATAGGCTGCTGTTTGCAGGAATGCTCGTGATGATTCAAACTCCCCGTCAGATCTCGCTACCCTGTTTTCGAATTCTCCTGCACTGGACGAAGACGGGTGTCTTGGATTCAGTTGTGATACCCACTGCTGAGAGTTGTTCACTCGGGAATCGGCAATGCTCCCACTATTATTCATGGCCACTACATTCTGTTGGAGGTGCCTTGTTCTTTGTCTTGAGGTCGCCTGGTTTTCGCTCACAACCGTGCAGCTGAGCTGCATGCAGCTTTGCAGGTCCTCGGTGCGAAGACCACAGCAGAGCGTGGGGACCTGAGGAATGCCAAAAATGAGCTGTAACATGTAGCAACGATAGTTGCCCCAAGATAAGGCATGTTTGGGGAGGGGTTTGGTCTTGCGAGGACTTCGAGAGTGGATGACCAAGCGGGAGCTGAAGTTCAGCTTGCAGCCACCAGCTCAACTCGGTTGTAGAATAGAAGCTGCAAGCAGGAACAAATTATGAACTAAGGTCACCTCAAAGCTTGCCTGCAGATGAGTTATGCGGTCATAGCAATACAGGTTGGACAAATGCAAATCTGGATGCGTACAATGTACATGTTGCCATTTTGTGCATTTATTGAATGAGTTGCTGTTGGATCTTAGGCGAGGCACCTACGTTGGGAGAAGCATCAGCGCCTGTGCGAAAGCGGACGCGCACAGCAGGGACAATGCCGGGGCGCAAAAAGGCTTGCAACAAGACTTCGGCGAATACGGTCAAAGCCGGAAGTAGTTCTCCTCAAACAGTTGCAAGTGCCAAAGCTGAAGAGCAAACAGGAAAGGACATATTGGCAGATATCCAGAGAAATCCTGAAGCCGCAGCAATGACCAAAGACCCCGTTAACGATTCAGCCCCACCGTCTTTGAGTGAGAAGGACCTGGGCGCAGGATGCGGTGACACTGGGCTTGAGAGCTTGAAAGCTGCAGACAAGAATGAAAGGACTGAGGGATGGAAAGCTGAATCCAAAGAACCCGAGCGGATTTCAAAAAGGCCTCGAGGTCAGAGCGTTCTCAGTTTCTCCTTTTCTGGCACCGACAAGAACCAGGTGGCTCCAGCCACCTCGCATTTGCCCTCAAGAGTTGCAACATCCGATCGCATGGATTCAGACTCCAACAAGGGTGAGATGGCAAGACCGTGTGAAGAAACACCGGCAGAACCTGTGGCCGAAGTGAAGAGTGCTCCGGACCCAAGCCCATCACATGAGAAAAACTCAGAAGCTGCAAAGATTCAGCACAAGGAAGAAGATGGACAAGTAACTGCATCGGATTTCGTAAAGTTTTGTGTTGTGCTGTTGGAGGAGATGTTTAGGTAGACAGGTTTGCCGCAATCCATTTGCTGTTTGCTTGCCTTTGCTAGTTTGAAGGTGACGATCGTTCTCGGAAATCAGCGACATCGTCAAAAAAGCTTGCTCTCCATGTTTGCAAGTCGGACTGGAGGCTGAGCGTGTGAGCAGGGCAAATTTCTTCACATTTCGTTTGGTTTGGAGCCTTTGGCATCCAAGGGGTCTTTATGTACAGAACTCTTTCGCCAAACATTTTGGCAAATATTCAAGGATTTTGAAGATCTATATATTTTCAAACATCCTTGAAGATCTTGAAGGCGGGGCCCTGGGGGATCCTTCTTGGCCGCCTTTGCGTGGAATTTCCTCAAAAGATTCGATGGAATCTATAAATTCGATATAGGATATTATAGACATATATATATATCTATTCAAATACAATATGACCTAATGTCCTCATGTTTAATCACAGAGCCGGTCATATTTTCACCGTAGCATTGGGGCTTAAGAGGCTTGAATGGGAGAGGGTGCGAGCCCTCTCCCAGTCTGCGACCGCTGCAGGCACTTTGTGGTCCGTGCCGAGGGACTGCAAACGTGCCTGCCCTGCCGAAAGGGATACCAGTTGTTGGTGTCCCTGCGGTCGGTGGTGGCACCCAACCGGGACGAGGCCGCGGCTGTGTTCCTGGAGGGGTGTTTCGGGCTCCTCGAAGACTGGATCAAGGAGATCAAGAACCTCGAGGACAAGGACAGCAAAGGATCCAAAGAGAAGCCCAAGAGAGAGGAAAAGCCCCAGGACAAGGAAAAGCCCTTAGCAAAGCCCGAAAGAAAGGAAGGAGTGTTGAAGCAGTACAACAGCCCACACAAGGAAAAGAGTGATCGCCCCCATCCTGAAACCAGCCGCCCATCCAGCAGCTCAAAACAGGTCGTCAGTAGACCTCCATTACCGCCTCCTCCTCCAGCCCCCGAGGCGCCCCAAGGGAGCTTAGACCGTGGCCACAGCTCCCAGGTCGTCCGAGTGCCAAGGCCCTCTCACCGAGGCCAGGACATCCCAGCGGACCGGCCCGATAAGAGACCAGCCCCAGCACCTCAGAGCAAGCGTGCATCCCCGGCCGAAGGGGCCGAGGCTGGAGAGGTCACTGAAGAGCCCATCAGCGCAAAGAAGGACAGAAGCCGGAGGAGGAGAAGGAAGAGGGAGAGATCGAGTTCCTCTCCCAGTTCGCGTGGCAGAGACAAGAAAAGAAGGAGAGAAAGCCATCGCGACAAGAAGGATCGGAGCCGCCGAAGACGGAGATCAAGAACGGGGACATCGTCTGTGACCGGTTCAAGAGTCCGAGAAGCCAAGAAGGAAGAGGCTGTGAGGCTCAGGTCACCAGAGAAGCCCCGCAGCCCCCATACGCCACCAGGTCCCCCGCCAGCTCCACCACCGGTGCGCCAACCCCCCGCGAGGCCACCGCCAGTGAGACCGCCGCGGCGGCAGCCAGTCCCACAGGGCCCAGGCTGGGTGGGACGCGTGCCATACAGCAACCACCCGCGGTGGTGGGCAGGAAAGAATAAGGGAGTGACCCGTCGAGCAAAGCAAGAGCTCTTCAACAGGCGAAGATAATGCCGCCAAGAGCACGACCAGCCATCCGAGCATCCTCATTGCGGAAAAGGCCTGCTAGTCGTATGGAGACGGAGGAGAAGGTGACGAGGCTGCATGTCTTCAGGGAGTTGGCCGCCGTTCAGCTGCGTACCTTGGGCCTTGTAGAGTTGGCCCAGGCTTCATACTATGAAGGTCATGTCAAACTCGCAGGCTATGTGGAGGGCCTGGGGAAGGATGACGATTTCCTGACCTTTCGTGCTACAGGTACCCAGTCGGACCATATGACTGAGCTTCTGGCAGATCCCCGAAAACGTGTCTTTCAGCTCCATGTCTGCGGGCCTAGTTGCGGGCGACGTGAGACAGGTGAGGATGTGATCCACGCAGCAGGGTATTGGTTGGTGGAAGATGAGGACAAGAAGCCATGGCAGACCATGTATGAGGGCGACTCCAAGAAAGTTGAAGCAGAGGATGAGTTGGGGTCGCTTCGAAAGTTGCATGAGGAGAGAAAGAAGACAGATCGAGGGGAGGCAGGGTCTCCCAGGGAGGAGTCAGAGGAGAAAGGAAAGGTGAAGGACAAGAAGGCAAAAAAGAAGAAGAAGGAAAAGACAAAGAAGCATGAGGCGAGGCATGGCGAGAAGAAGGAGCCGGGGGTTGAAGAGGGCACTGCATTGATGGAACGGGGGCAGAAGACCTTGTCCGCGTTGTATGAGGGGACCTGCCTGGACCCAAATGCAGAGGTTCGCAGTAGGCTCCTGAAAAGAGCAAAACGCTTCGGAGGGAAGAGCTCGAAGAGGAGGAGAAGGTCTTCAAGTGAAGCATCGAGTGGAACAAGCTCCTCGAGTGAGTCTGAAGAAGAGGAGTTTGGAGAAGGGTTGTTTGAGGAGCGAAAGAGAGCGCTCCGCCTGACAAGGCGGTATCCGGGAAGTTTGGCCGCGCAAACGGTGGCGAGCATGAAAGAATCACTGCTCACCCAGAGCGGCAGTTTATATTCCCAAGATCGCCGAACCCTTCCACCGATCTTCTCGCAATTCTTTCGGAGCGAGATGCAGGCGCTCTGCTCGCCGTCCATGAGCCAGGAGCTCCTCACCTTATCTCAGGGAGCCGACTTACTCCTCCGTGGTCATCCTGCAAGAGCCCTTGACCTGTTGGCACAAAGGGTTAAGGCTCTCGATCAGCAGATTCGAGGCGGACATTGGACGGTAGCAAGACAGTTAGAGCTAGTGAGCGCTGATTCAATGGGGTTAAGCAAAGGCCCCGAAGGGCAAGAGGCCGCAAAGCTGGCGCGTGAGGAGCTTCGAGACCGCCTTGCCTCCCAGCGGCCGTATGGGTCCGCCAGTGGATCAGGAGGCCGAGAGAAAGGGGAGGGGGCGGGAAAAGGAAAGGATCGTTACACCTCTGGAGGAGACAAAGGAAAAGGCGAAAAGGGCAAAAGAGAGAAGGGGAAAGGCAAGAAGAAAAATGAGTAGCAAGAAACTGAGGGGAAGCTCCAAAGGAGGTGAGAAGAACGATCCAAAGATGGAAGAGCCGCCAGAGAGAGGGTCGAAAAGGGCTAGAGAGGAGGCTGAAGAGCAGGCATTACAGAGGGCAGGAGAGCTGGAAAAAGAGAGGGCAGAGGCTGTATCAGGTGTGGAAGCGAGGGCGATAGAGGAGCTGTTGAAGGGTTGTCGAGAAGAGGGCTTGAAGAAAGGGCTTGAGGAGAAGAGAAGGATGCATGTGGGCCGGAGGCCATATGAGGAGATGGAAGGGGAGCCTCAGGACTCCCAGCACGATGGCCGTAAGAGTGTTGTGTTGGGGAAGCCTGGTGGGCGTGACAATGTTGTGTCGGTTGAGGAGAAGGCTACATTGGAGCCGCCTGCTGACATTGCTTTTTTGACAAGGGAGCAGGACTCCCAGTGCGCTGGGCGAACGTTGAAAGAGAGCCAGAGTTCATTGGGAGACACTGCTTCGAATACCTATGCCTCCCCACAGGTAAGTGGGTCGAGATGGATGGTGTTGAGCGCAAGCAACCGGCAGGCATTTGAACAATGCCGGTACAACCTTGCCACGGCATGCCAAAAAAAGGGGTTGAGATTTGAGGACATTGGGGAGCCGCTTCTAGAGGCGTTGAAGGTGCAAGAGAAGGCTTACGCGCGTTGCAGCGAGTCCAAAGGGGATTTGTTCCCCCTGCCCCTTCCATCGTCTCTGAAGCCTAGCACTCCCCCAGGTTTTTGTATAGATGCATTGGTGCAAGCTTTGAATTCATTGTATGGGACAAAGACAATAGTAAGGGTGAGAGAGGACAAGACTCGGTTGAACTTGATCAAAAGGTTGGAGAAAGTGGTAGAAGAGTCGGAGCTTAGCGGAGCAGAAGTTCCAGACATTGACTTCGGGGAGTTCTTCCAAGCCCGGTCGGTCGATTACTCTGGGGAGATTGTTCAAGTCGCACGTCGGTTCGATTGGCGCATGGTGGAAGCAGCATTTCCCGAGGCGGTAGGCAGTCTAGAGTTGGAGGAGTTTTGTGATGGGGGCACCTTAGCCTATGTGAAGAACTTTGAGGAATTTCTTCTGCCGCCTCAGGACCAGCATTTGGGAAAGGCTCCAAGCATCATGGTGGAGGCCAGCCACTGGGCTGAGGTGTGTTCGGGGTTGATCCGAAGGGGGGTATGCCGGCTCATGCATCGCAGTGAACTACACCATATAGGAGGACGACCATTACTGAACGGACTTTTTGCTGTTAGTAAGCAGGAACAGGCGACGGATGCTCACGGGAACCTGTTTGAAGTTTGTCGGTTGATCATGAACCTAGTGCCGACGAACGCCTGTTGCCGGAGCTTGGTCGGAGACACCTCAACTTTGCCCAGTGTTGTAGGGATGTCATCAATCATTCTTGAAGACAACCAACTCCTCGTGACCTCATCAGAGGACATTCGCTGTTTTTTCTATCTGTTCCGAACTCCGCCCAGTTGGTGGAAGTACATGGGGTTTGGACGGGAGGTCCCTAGTGAGGCCCTCCCAGGAGGATATGCGGGGACAGGGTGGCACTTGGTGACGCAGGTGTTGCCTATGGGTTTCATAAACTCGGTAGCTATTGCTCAACATGTCCACCGACGAGTGATCAATCAAGCATTGAAAGGTGAGTCGAGGTTGGCATCTGGTCATCAAGAGATCCGAAGGGACAGACCGGCTAGTAGCGCACCTCACCTCTTCCGCGTGTACCTGGATAACTATGATGAGCTAAAGAAGGTTGACAGGACATTGGCAGACATGTTGGCGGGGACCCCATCGGCTTGGACTCTAGCTGTACGACAAACATATGAAACCCTAGGACTCCCCAGACACCCGAAGAAGGCTGTCACGCAGGCAGTGAAGGCAGAGGTACAGGGCGCATGGGTGGATGGCGAAGTAGGAAAGGCAGGGCCCAAGCCCGAAAAGGTCATGAGGTACGTGAAGCTGGCGTGTGAAGCGGTGATTCATGGAAGAGCGTCGCAAAGAGAGCTGCAGGTCATCGGAGGAGGGTTTGTGTACATTGCCATGTTCAGACGCCCCCTGCTTGCCGGTTTGAACGCCCTTTGGAGGCGTGTGGTTGAGTTGGACAAGTTGC